TTGTTATGATTTTTTCTAACTCTATAAAAAAATCTTGGTAATTTGATTGGTATGGCACTGAATAAGTAAATTAGCTACCCATGAGCAACTGATGTTTTTCCAATTATTTAGATCTGATTTTATTTGTGTGAAAAGTGTTTTGTAATTGTGTTCATAGAGTTCCTGGGTTGGTTTCGGGAGGTAGACTCCTAAATAGTTTATAATGTCTACAGTAAGTTTAAATGGGATTTCTCTTTCTATCTCTTGCTGCTGGGCTCTGTTGATAATACATAGAAATGCTGATGATTTATGTGGGTTTATTTTATAGCCTGCAACTTTGCTAAAGTTGTTTATTATTTCAAGTAGTTTTTTACTTCATTCTCTAGGATTTTCTAAGCATATCATCATGTCAGCTGCAAAGAGTGATAGCTTTGTTTTTCTTTGCCTAGTTTAATGCCTTCAATTTCTTTTTCTTCTCTTATTGCTAAAACTAACGTTTCCAGTACAATATTGAATAATAGTGGTGATAATGGACATCCTTGTTTCACCCCCGATCTTATTGGAAATGCTTCTAGCCTGTCTCTATTACACATAATGCTTGCTGAAGGTTTTAGATAAATGCTATTTATCATTTTAAGGAAGACTCCATTTATACCTATGCTTTCTAGTGTTTTTAATAGGAATGGGTGTTGTATTTTATCAAAAGCTTTTTCTGCATCTATTGAGATGATCATGTGGTTTCTGTTGGTTTTGTGTTGATATGCTCAATGATGCTGATAGTTTTCCTAATATTGAACCAACCCTGCATTCCTGGTATAAATCCTACCTGGTCATAGTGTATTATTCTTGTGATAAGTTGCTGCAATCTACTTGCTAGTATTTTGTTTAAAATTTTTGCATCTATATTCATTAGAGAAATTGGTCTATAATTTTCTTTCTCTATTTTGACTCTTCCTGGTTTAGGTATCAACACCATATTTGCATCATAAAAAGAATTTGGTAAGACTCCTTCTTCACCTATTTTCCCAAATAGTCTATATAGTATTGGAATTGATTGTTCTTTAAATGTTTGATAGAATTCGCATGTAAATCCATCTGGCCCTGGAGATTTTTTCCTAGGGAGTTCATCAATGGCTTGTTCAATTTCTTTTTCTGAGATGGGGTTATTTAAGTATTTTACTTCCTCTTCAGTTAATCTGGGCAAATTTTATTTTTGTAAATATGTATCCATTTCACTAAGATTGTCAAATTTGTTGGCATATAGTTGGGCAAAATAATTCCTAATTATTGTTTTAATTTCCTCTTCCTTGGTGGTAGCTTGCCCTTTTCATTCTTGATACTAGTAATTTGGTTTTCTTCTTTCTTTTTTTAATTAAATTAACCAAAGGCTTATCTATTTTATTGTTTTTTCATAAAACCAGCTCTTAGTTTTATTTATTAGTTGAATAGTTTTCTTAATTTCAATTTTATTAATTTTTCCTTTGGTTTTCAATATTTCTAATTTGGTGTTTAGTTGAGGATTTTTAATTTGTTCTTTTTCTAGTTTTTTTAGTTGTATGCCCAATTCATTAATCTCCTCTTTTTCTATTTTATTTATGTAAGCATTTAGAGATATAAAACTTCCCCTAAGAACTGCTTTCGCTGCATCCCATAGGTTTTGGTATGTTGTCTCATTATTGTCATTCTCTTGAATGAAATTATTGATTGTTTCTATGATTTGTTGTTTGACCCAATCATTTTTTAGGATTAGATTATTTAGTTTCCAATTATTTTTTAGTCTATCTTTCCATGGCCCTTTATTACATATAATTTTTATTGCATGATCTGAAAAGGATGCATTTAATATTTCTGCCTTTCTGCATTGGATTGTGAGGTTTTTATGCCCTAGTACATGGTCAATTTTTGTTTATGTGCCATGTACTGCAGAGAAAAAAGTATATTCCTTTCTATCCCCATTCAGTTTTCTCCAGAGGTCTATCATACCTAACTTTTCTAATGTTCTATTCACCTCCTTAACTTCTTTCTTGTTTATTTTGTGGTTAGACTTATCTAGTGCTGAGAGGGAGGTTCAGGTCCCCTACTAGTATAGTTTTGCTGTCTATTTCTTCCTGTAACTCCCTGAACTTCTCCTGTAAGAATTTGGATGCTATACCATTTGGTGCATATATGTTTAGTAATGATATTACTTCATTGTCTATGGTGCCTTTTAGCAGGATGTAGTTTCCTTCCTTATCTCTTTTGATTAGATCTATTTTTGCTTTTGCTTTGTCTGAGATCAGGATTGCTACCCCTGCTTTTTTCACTTCAGCTGACACATAATATATTCTGCTCCAGCCTTTTACCTTTACCCTGTATGTGTCACTCTTTTTCAAATGTGTTTCCTGTAAACAACATATTGTAGGATTATGGTTTTTAATCCATTCTGCAATCCATTTCTGTTTTATGGGAGAGTTCATCCCATTCACATTCACAGTTATGATTACTATCTGTGTCTTTTTCTCCATCCTTTTCCCCCCTATTTATGCTTTTCTTTCTCCTTTCCCTTTCCCCCTTCACTAGTGTTTTGCTTTTGACCACCGCCTCCTTCAGTCCCTTCCCCTTTTTATTATCCTTTCCCTTTTCTTCCCCTTTAGTCTTACTGCTCTTCCTCCTCTTCCCTCCCTTTCTTTCCCCCTCCTTTTCTTTCCCCCCTCCCTTTTCTTTCCCCTTTTCCCTCCTACTGCCTATAGGGCAAGTTAGATTTCTATACCTAACTGATTATATTATGCCCTTCTTGAGCCAAATCTGATGAGAGTAAGGTTCAAACAATGCCCCCCCCTTCTTTCCCTCTGCTGTAATAGGATTTTGTGTCTTTTCCTGTAATGTAATTTACCCTTGTCTGCCTCCCCCTTTCTCAGTACATTTTCTAAGATCATTGATCCACTTATTTGGATCCATTTAACCCACTTGATTAGATTTTTTTTATCATTACATCAAAGTCAACTAATATCCACCTCTTTATGTATACTCCTTTAACAAGGTGTAATAACAATACAGTTCTCAAGGGTTGCAAGTCTCATATTCCCTTGTAGGGGTTTAAACACCCCCCCATTAACAACATATTGTATCCTTCTGTCCCATTTACCTTTTTAAGTCCTTCTTGAGTCCTGTACTTGAAGATCAAATTTTTGTTGAGCTCTGGTCTTTTTATCAGGAAAGTTTGGAAGTCTCCTATTTCGTTGAATATCCACCTCCTCCCTTGAAAAATGATGCTCATTTTTGCTGGTAATTGATCTTGGCTGCATTCCAAGCTCCTTTGCCTTACGGAATATCATGTTCCACAACCTGCGGTCTTTTAATGTAGAAGCTGCAAAGTCCTGTGTAATCCTGACTGTGGTTCCATGATATTTAAATTGTTTCTTTCTGGCTGCTTGCAGCACCTTCTTTTCATCTGGTAATTTTGGAATTTTGCTATATATTCCTTGGTGTTGTCAATTTGGGATCTCTTTCAGGCAGTGATCAGTGGAGTCTTTCTACGGTTATTTTCCCTTCCAGTTCTAGTACTTCTGGGCAGTTTTCCTTTATGATTTCCTGAAAGATACTGTCCAGGCTCTATTTTTCATCATGATTTTCAGGTAGTCCAATAATTTTTAAATTGTCTCTCCTGAGTGATTTTCCAGGTCGGTTGTTTTACTGATGAGGTATTTTACATTTTCATCTATTTTTCCATTTTTTTGTTTCTGTTTGACTGATTCTTGCTCTCATAGAGACATTAGTTTCCATTTGTCCAATTCTAGTTTTTAAGAGATTGTTTTCTTCTGTTAGTTTTTATACTTCCTCCTTCAACTGGCCAATTGTGTTTCTCTTAGGGACTTGTTTCCTTCAGTATACTCTTCTGTTAGTTTTTGTACTTCCTTCTTCAATTGGCCAATTGTGTTTTTTAGGGACTTGTTTTCTTCAATGTATTTTTTTTCCAACTGGCCAATTGTATTTTTGAAGGACTCTTCTACCTCTCTCCTTTGACTATTAAAATCCTTCTTGAGCTCTTCTAAGAAGGCTTTTTGGGCTTCAGACCAGTTCATATTCCCTTTTGTTGTTGCAGATGTGGGTTTGTTGACAATGTTGTCCTCTTCAGAATCTCTGTCTTGATCTTCACTCTTCTCATAATATGAATCTATGGTACGTTTCTTTTTACTCACGGTGTTTCTTTATTCCCTGGCCTTTAAAGAAATTGAGCTCTCCTGCTGGGGAACAGGGTAGTGACCCAAGCTTCTTGTGTTGGGAGCCTAGGTCTTGGTCACTGGCCTTGCATGCTGGGGCCTCTTATGCTGGCAATTGGAGGCTGCAGGTTTCTGGCAGCTTACCTTGTGTTGGCCTGGAATCAGCAAGGCTGGAACTTTCAGGGAATTCTAGGTTGCCTGCTTTTCCTTTCCTTTAGCTTTCTTCAGCTCCTTTTAGATGGGTGCTGCAGGGTGTTTATCTGCCTGGGGCGCCCTGCAGTGTTGTCTCCCTTGTTTCTGCTAATGCACTGGGAGATTCCTTTGTGGTGGAGTGCTGAGGCACCTGGTGGTTTTCTGAGCTGGTTTTCACCGGTTCCACCCCACCCCCCTCCCGGCCCTCTCTGAGGTACTGTAGGTCCAGGTGTTGGTGTTTGCCTGCTCTACCACCTGGGCTTCAGGAATTCTTCACAATTGGAGGCTGCAGGGCTCCAACAGCTCACCTGGTATTGGGTTGGAATCAGCAAGACTGGGGCTTTAGGAAGCCTTTAGCTTGTTTTCTTCACCTCCTTTCAGATGAATGCCACAGGGTACTTATCTGCCTGGGGCCCCTTGTAGTTCTGCCTCCCTTATTTTTGCTGAGGCACTGGGAGACCCGTTTGATGGGCTGCTGCACTGCTGCTTCCTGTCTTTCTTCTAGTTCAGGTGTTCCAGGGTTTTTTTTTCTGGGGTGATATTTTCTGGGTTTTCAGAGGTTGATAGGGGAAAGCGAGTACGACTACCTTTTCACTCCGCCATCTTGCCTCCCGGAAGTCTCTGTTTTGTGTTTTTTTGTGGTGGGGAACCTCAACATTTTGTTCTCAGAACTAGATAAATCTAACCAAAAACTAAACAAGAAAGAAGGGAACAAAATGTTAGAAAAGTTAGATGTGAGAGAACTCTGGAGAAAGTTGAATGAGAATAGAAAGAAATATACCTTTTTCTCAGTGGCACTTTGCCTTATATCCATTATATTATATATGCTGCCCCTAATAAGGCTGTCCCTATCCAACATACATGATTGAAGTATTCACATTGCCAAAATAACCTCTGACCTTTAGGGCACTTTACCCATAGCAACAGGGCAGCTAAGTGGCTCAGTGAATAGAATACTAGTCTTGGAATCAGGAAGACTCACCTTCATGGGTTTAAACCCCCTGCCCAAACCCTCACTACTACCTCTAGAAGCCAGAGCAGAGATGGAGCAGTTGCCATCTGCGAAATTAGTATACTAATGGGAGTGGGGGAAGGGAAGAGTAGCTTCATAGTCTGTGCAGGCATGACCTCATTTGTTTTTCACAACTGCCCCCTGCAAGGATGTATTATTATCCATGTTTTACAGATGAGAAACCTGAGACTGGGAGAACTTAGGTGTCAGAGATGGGCTGTGAACCCATGTTTCTTCAGTCTCCAAGTTGGTCATTCTATCTGTTCAACCACAATGTCACTTACCTTTTCCTTTTTGTAAATCAAACCATCAAATCAGAAAATACTTACAGAAATTAATTCAGTCCATTCACTGGAAGGTCAAATGCTGAAGCTTAAAGACTGTGGTCACATCATGAGAAAATGGGATGCATTGGAAAAGATCCTAATAATGGGAAAGATAGAAGGCAAAAGGAAATGGTAGAGGGATAATATGGATAAGTAGTGTCACACGAACAACGAACATGAACTAGGACAGACTTCAGGAGATAGTGGAAGAAAGAAGGGCCTAGCATGTTGTGGTCGAAGGGGTCAAAAAGAGTCAGACAAGATTGAATGACTGAATAACAACAATGAAGGTAAATGGCTATGAGGAGGAGTAGGTGAAACCTGGAAAACTGCCATGGAAGAAAAGGAGTTCCTACTTTATGTTATTACCACATACTAGGAGCAGGCATAGGACTTTCACCACAAAAGGGTTGGAGTTTGGCTAGCTTGATGATTCAACAATCCAATTATCCGGTCCTAACCTCTCTGCATACAGCCAGCCTCACATCTCCAACTGTCTACTGGACATCTTCAACCAGATATTCTGTAGATATCTTGAATTCAGCAAGTCCAACACTGAACTCATTGTCTTACCTTCCCCCCCCAAAAAAAAACGTACCTCCTTCCTACTTAACCTATAACTGTTAAGGGCAGCCCAGTATTGTCAACATCACCCAGATCACCCAGGCTTGCAAGCTAGGGGTCATCCCAGATGTCTGACACTCTCTCACCTCGTCATATCCAATCTGTTGCCAAGATCTGTGCATTTCCCCTTCCTAACGTCTTCTGAATGCCCAGTTCTCTCCTCTGGCACTGACAACACCCTGATGTATTAATTTTAATTAAAATTAAACTTGAATTCACTACTGATTAGAGAAATGCAAATTAAAACAATTCTCAAGTACTACCTTATACCTATTAGATTGGCTAAGAGGACAGAAAAGGAACAGGACAGATATTAGAAGGAATGTGGGGAAAATGAGACATTAATGCACTGTTATGAACAGATTCAAACATTCTGTAGAGCAATTCTGAACTATGACCAAAGGGCTATGTAACACTATGCATACCATTTGACCTAGCAATACCACTACTAGATATGAATCCCAAAAGAGATAAAAAACAAGGAAAAGTTCCTATACGTACCCCCACCCCAAAAATATATGTGTGTGTGTATATGTGTGTATGTATATATTTATATGTATGTGTGTATATTATATATGTGTGTATATGTATGTATGTGTATGTGTGTGCATAATATGTACATACATGCAAATCTGTATACATATATGTGTGCATACATGTGTATATGCATGTGCATGTATATATGTATGTCTATGTGCATGCATATATAATATGTATATGCATATGTATGTGTATATATACGTACATGTGTGTATATATGTGTGGATGTGCATATATGTGTATGTGTATATATATATATGTGTGTGTGTATGTATATATGTATAGCAGCACTTTTCTGGGGGCAAAAATTAGAACTTGAGGAGATGTCCAAGTTGCGATATGCGATTAGGATGGAATACTATCGTACTATAAGAAATGATAGGGGCAGCTAGGCGACACAGTGGATAGAACTCCAGCCTTGGACTCAGGAAGACCTTACTTCAAATCTGCCCTCAGACACTTGACACTTACTAGTTGTGTGACCCTGGGCAAGTCACTTAACCCCAGTTGCCTTGGCAAGAAACAAAAAATGATGAGCAGGATCCTCTCAGAAAAGCCTGGAAATACTTACATGAGCTGATGCAAAGTGAAATGGACTATGCACAAAGTAACAGCAATAGTGTAAGATGATCAGCTGTGAACGACTTAGGTATGCTCAACAATACAATGATCCAAGACAACCCTGAAAGACTTATGCTGAAAATTGCTATCTGTTCCCAGAGAAAGAACTGATGGTGTCTAAATACAGATTGAAGCATACTTTTTTTACTTTATTTTTCTTGAGGTTTTTTTTGTCTGTTTTCTTTCACAACATGACTATTATGGATATGTTTTGCATGACTACACATGTATAGCCTGTATCAAATTTGCTTGCCTTATCAATGAGGGGGTGTAAGGAGGGTGGAAGGGAGACAATTTGGAACTAGAAGTCTCAAAAAGGAATGTTAAGAATTGTTTTTCTATGTAACTAGGAAAAAAGAAAATGCTAAATGAAAAAGGAAATAAGTTATGCTACTTTACTTTTTGAAATTTATTAAACCGTCAAAGGTAGCTAAACAAGTTTTAGGGACTGTATTATTTTTCAATATTAGATTATTAATAAAATATTTGATTTAAAAAAAGACCAGAGCTGAAAAGAAAATTTAACTTTCAAATACAATGCTAGAGAGATGTATAAAGAGGTAAACAGGAAAGGGAAATCATAAGGGACTTAATAAGGTTAAATAGGCTACCTTACTGCATTGGAAGATGACACTTGTAACTCATAAGAAATTTCTCATCATTAGGGCAGTTAGAAGGAGTATACATAGACCAAAAGCAGAGGTGTGAGTTGAATATGAAGGGATGATATCTCAAAAATAAAATTAAGGTGTGAGGAGGAGGTGCACACTGGAGAAGGGGAACAGAAGAGGTAGAATGGGGGTAAATTATCTGACATAAAATAGGCAAGGAAGAGCTTTTACAGTGAAGGGGGAAAGAGGAGAGGTGGGGGGAACACTTGTGCCTTAGTCTTATCAGAATTTCCTCAGAGGGAATCACACACACACACACAAAATACAGAAATCTATTTTAACCAAAAGAAAAGCAGGAGGAGAAGAGCAGAAGAGAAGGGAGGTGGTGATAGAAGCAAGGACAGATTGGAGGAGGTGGTACTCAGAAGCAAAACACTTAAGGAGGGACACAGTGAAAGGAGAAAGAGAATAGAATAAATAAGGGGGAAATAGGATGGAGAGAAATACAGTTAGCAAACATAAGTGGTTAAAAAAAATTCTTGAAGCCAAGTTCCACTGATAAAGGCCTTGTTTCTCAATTATATAGAGAAGTCAGTCAAATTTATAAAAATAAACACCATTCCCCACCAGATAAATGATCAAAAGATATGACCAGTCAGTTTTCAGATGAAGTAATCAAAGCTATCTCTACCCATATGAAAAAATATTGTAAATCATTGTGGATTAGAGACATGGAAATGAAAAAATTGGGAGGTACTACCTCACATGTATTAGATTGGCTAATAGGATAGAAAATGATAAATTCTGGAGGGGATGTGGGAAATTTGAGACATTGTTGGTGGAGCTGTGAACAGATTCAACCTTTCTGTAAAGCAATTTGGAACTTTGCCCAAAGGGCATACCTTTTGACCTAGCAATACCACTGCTAGATCTTTATTCCAAAAAACATTTAAAAAAAGTAAATGGACCTATACATACAAAAATATGTATGGCAGCTCTTTTCTCATGGCAAAGAACTGGAAATTGAGGGGATAAGCATCAAGTGGGAATGGCTGATTAAGTTGTGGTATATAAGTGTGATGGAATGCTATAAGAAATGCTGATCAGGGTGGTCTCAGAAAATCCTAGAGAGATTTAAATGAACTAAAGGAAAGTGAAATGAGTAGTTCCAGGAGAACATGGTATACACAGTAACAGCTCTATTATAAGATGATCAGCTATGAATGACTTAGCTATTTTCAGCAATATAAAGATCCAAGACAATTCTGAAGGACTTATGATGAAAAATGCTATCCATCCCCACAGAAAAGACTGGTGGTCTCTGAATACAGATCAAAGCATACTTTTTTTAACTTTATATTTCTTGACAGGTTTTTGTGGTCTATTTTTTCTTTTATAAAATAACTAATATAGAAATATGTTTTGCATGACTAAATATGTATAAGCTATCTTGCTTGCCTGGTCAACGCAGGGGTGGCGGGGGGGGCGGCTGGCGGGGTAGAGATTGAGGAGGAGTAAGGGAGAGAATTTAGAGCTCAAAATTCTTAAAATGAATGTGAAAAATTGTTTTTACACATAATTGGGGAAAAATAAAATACTAAATAAATATTAACAACAACTTAAGTGGACCATCCCGCAGACCCTGTACATCATGTGAATTTATCCACAGAACTGGAAAAGGGCAGGAGGGAAGCAGGAAGGGGACTGCACCCCTGTGGAGGAGGGGTTGGGCACATGGTTCCAGGATACGTGGAGCCTGGGCACTGAGAAGCAAGAGCAGGAGAAGGAACACATGGCTGGTGGGGCCAGCCACGTGAGGGCCTGGCTGGAACAGAAAGGAAGAACATGCCGGCAGGCAGACACATGAGGGCCGGACATGGAAACGTTCAGGAAAGGACAGACCACACACGGTGGGGACCAGGAACAAACACACTGGATACCCACATGGATGGACAAAATACCAAAATGCAGGGACCAAACTCTCGGGCAGGTGGGCAGGCTGAAACTAAGGTCTCCTCTCTCATCACTGGAGGTCTCAAGCCAAGTCCCCATTCAGCAGTGGCGGTGGCTGTCTCTCTGCAGGTCTATTTTTCTGCTTTCACTTGGAGGACTTCTTTTTAGCTTTTTCTTTGGGGTGGAGGGTTAGTGGTGGTAGGAGGCCACAGAGCGCCAATTTGAGGGACAGGAGGCGAAAGAGATCCCAGTACAGCAGGGTAAAGCATAGGTGTTTTCTTGGAATGCAGATTTCTTATAGAATTCCTTCCATAAAGTCCAATTTGTATAATGTGAATTTCCATAAAGCACCATCTGTCTGTACTCCTTTCTATCCTCTTTCAGTTTTCCAGAGGTCTTTCATATCTAAGTTTTCTAAAATTCTATTACTCGTCTTAACTTCTTCCTTATTCATTTTATGGTTAGGTTTATCTAGCTCTCAGAGCGAAAAGTTGAGGGAACCCGCTATGACAGTTTTCCTGTCTATTTCTTCCTGTAACTTGTTTAATTTTTCCTTTAAGAATTTGAATCCTATGCCATTTCCCAAATATGTTTACTAAGGATTTTACTTCATTGTCTGTCATTCCTTTGAACAAGAGGTCGTTTCCCTGCTTACCCCTTTCAATAGGGCTATTTCTGCTTTTGCTTTGATCTCAGGTTCATGACTGCTACCCCTCCATGTTTTAATTTAGCAGAGGTATAACAGTTTCTGCTTCAGTGCCCTATTGTAACTCTGTGGTTCTCTCTTTGTTTCAGGTATGTTTCTTGTAAAACAAACAAACAAAGATATTCTTGGAGACTGCTTTCTAATCCATTTTGCTATCCCCTTCCATTTTATGCGTGAGTTCATCCCATTCACACAGGTAGGATGACGAATGATACATTTCCCTCCATCCTATTTTCTTCTGTTTCTCCTTCTCTCTCTCTTTTTATCCTGTCTCTCCTCTCATTTCTGTTTTGCATATGACCACTGTATCCTTTTATCAGCCTGCCCTTTTATCACCAATTTTTCTTTCTCTTTTCCCATTCTCTTACTTACCTCTAGAGTAAGATGGATTCTTCTGACCAACTGAGTAAGTATATATAGATACAGATATAAAATAGATATAGATATTTTTCCTTTTGTGAACCAATTTAGATGCGACTGAAGTTCAATCATTGGCCACTCTCCCCTACGACCTTTTTCCACTCCGGGGTAAAAGCTCTTCCTTGGACACCTATTTTATATGAGATCATTTCCCCCATTCTCTCTCTCCCTTCTGCCTTCTCCAGGGCATCCACATTTCTTACCTATCCTTTATTTTACATCATCCCAACCTAACTGGCTTCCTATGTAAAACCTTCTTTTTATGTAAAATCCCTCCACCTCTTCTAATAATGACAAAATTCTTAAAGATATGTGTATCCTCTTCCCT